TCCGCAGAGGTGGGACGAGCTCCACAGTGCCTTCCGCAGAGGTGGCAGCACAGGCCTGGTGCCTCCACAGAGGCTGGATGGCGCACAACCTCGGCGTCTCAACCTCCCACAGCCCCTTCCCTGGCTGGACAGGCCCCCGTCAGCCAGAGGGTGGGGGGCGGGGCCAGCACTAAGGAGCAGCGAGCCCAGCTTATGGTTGAGCTGTGCTCCCCCAACACCCCCCGCTAAGCCCAGGAGCTGGGCTCACAGCTGGCGAGCACAGCGGCGGTGGCGGGAGCCTCTCCCACCTCCGCAGCAGGTGGGCGGTAAGGAGCGAGGGGTCCTGGACTGCAAGAGCCCTGCATTGAAAGAGGGATATCTGAGTGGCGGCTTAGGCCGACATCCCTGAGGGGTCCTGAACTGCGAGGGGGCGTAGGCCGGGCTGAGACCCCCCCACCCCAGTGCATGGATTTCGTGCACCAGGCCTCTAGTCCTATATAATAAAACCCTAATATGCAAATCGACCAAACTGCGGAACAATCAGCAGAACAACCAGTCGCTTTGACACACATTGACCACCAGGGGGCATACACTCAATGCAGGAGCTGTCCCCTGGTGGTCAGTGCGCTCCCCCAGGGGGAGTGCCGCAAAGCCAGAAGCTGGGCTCACGGCTATGCGTGCAGCGGTGTTGGTGGGAGCCTCTCCCGCCTCCGCTGCAGGTGGGTGGTAAGGAGCGAGGGGTCCTGGACTGTGAAAGTCCGGACAGCAAGAGGGATATCTGACTGCCAGCAGGTGGACATCCCTGAGGGGTCCCGGACTGTGAGAGGGCACAGGCTGGGCTGAGGGATGACCCCCCCCCCCCCCCAGTGCATGAATTTCATGCACCAGGCCTCTTGTATAGAATGAGTATTTCAGATGTACCAACAATTTAAATGCAAAAATGTGCCCTAGCCAGTTTGGCTTAGTGGATAGAGCGCTGGCCTGCAGACTGAAGGGTCCCGGGTTCGATTCCGGTCAAGGGCACATGCCTGGGTTGTGGGCTCCATTCCCAATGGAGGGCTTGCAGGAGGCAGCCAATCAATGATTCCCTCTCATCATTGATGTTTCTATCTCTCTCTCCCTCTTCCTTCCCCTCTGAAATCAATAAAAGTATATTTTTAAAAAAATGCAAAAATGCAACCAGAACACAAGGTTGAAATGTTTATGTAACTGAAGTGTGGGGTAGACCTAAAGCTTTTATAGAAAGACACAACACTCACAGCCAGCCATTAGGGAAGTGACGGATATAGCTAGCAACCTATAAATGTAAAGCTTCTGCCCATATCAATGACCACTGCAAGAGTAAAATATGGCATATATTAAAGTCATCATTAAAAGGATGGGAATAAATCTAAATACAAACCCAAATCTAAGATGGTACGTGTAAAAAGTTTTAGGAAAACATGAACAGCATGATGCTGTTTTTAGGATAAAAGAAAAATTGACAGAATATGTAGATCTACATATATAGGATATTAATGTATAGAAACAGTAATAATGGACTAGAGTAAGAGGAGATTCTTTACTCTGTAATATTTGAAATTCTAGAAATTTATATTCATATACTACTACTTATATAATTGAAAGTTCTATAAAGCAATCTATACCCAATAGTATGAAATTCTTAAAAGGTAACTGACTGGTAAAAATAACGAATGGGGGGGGGGGGTGGGAGGGAACCTAGAAAACAATGTTCATTTCAAGTAAAAGAGGCTTAAATTTATAATGAGTTCTGATAAATCAACACAAATAATTAAGAAACCTAATAGAACAAAGGACATAAATAAGTAAAGTAGACCAAAAAGCTTATCTGATAATTAAAGAAATGAAAATTAATACATGACTTCATTTTCCACCCATCATGTTATCAACTTCTTAACAGTAGAAGTAGGACAAAGAGTTTTTGAACCTGGACTACCTGGAACTGGACGCTCGGTTGGTTGAATAGGCTTGACATCTGCAAAAACAATGTTGATACCATTCATCAGCCTTATCAATACGATATTATGAATTTAATTTTTATTTTAAAAAAATATTAATTAGTCATTAAAATAAAAAATTCAGATACTTTCTGAACTTTGCAATTCTACTTCTGGGCATTTAATCTAAATATGTATTTTAAAAATACATAACAATGTAGTAGAATCTTCACTACAGCTTTGTATTTATAATGGAAATAACAGAAGTTAACTAAAAATAGTTTTTAAAAGTGATCAAAATAACCATTTGTATGTTTATTATTTTTTAAAATATGCTATTATTGATTTTTAGAGAAAGAGGAAGGGAGAGGAGAGAAAGAAACATAAATGTGAGAGAAATATTGACTGCTTGCCTCATGAACATAACACCATAGTGGATTGAGCTCGCAACATGGGCATGTGGCCTGACCAGGAATCGAACTAGCAACCCTTTCGGTGCTTGGAGGACGCTCAACTAACCCAGCCAGACCAGCCAGGGCTAAACATATGTTTCTTTTCAAAAATACCATTCAAGCAGCATTATGCTACAGTACATAATTTCTATCCTTTTCTTTTCACTCAGCACTTTTTGGATATTTTTTCATATAAGCAGAATTAGACCTACCTTATCATTATTACATGTTACTACTGATTCCTTCTTTAACTAATAACAAATTATATTTCACAGGCCCATGAAAAATTTTGATTTTTGATATTTTAAAAAATGCTATAGTTGCCCAGCCAGCATAGCTTAGTCAGCAGCGGTTCTCAACCTGTGGGTCATGACCCCTTTGACCATCGGAAAACACATATATAATTACATATTGTTTTTTGTGATTAATCACTATGCTTTAATTATGTTCAATTTGTAACAATGAAGTTGGGGGTCACCACAACATGAGGAACTGTATTAAAGGGTCGCGGCACTAGGAAGGTTGAGGACCACTGGCTTAGTGGTTGAGCGTCGACCCATGAACCAGGGAGACCATGGTTCAGGGCACATGCCTGGGTTGCAGGCTCAATCCCCAATGTGGGACCTGCAGGAGGCAGCCAATCAATGATTCTCTCTCATCACTGATGTTTCTATCTCTCTCTCCCTCCCCTTCCACTCTGAAAACAATAAAAACTATTTAAAAAATAAAAAACTCTATAGTTTATAAACTTGGCCTGGGTTGAGGGGAGGGAGACTGGAAGGAGTCAACGGGGGGAAAAAGTGGGCATATAAAAAATATATAAACTTTCAACAATAAAAAATTATATATAAACTTTCAACAGTAAAAAAATTATTAAAAAATACAAAACCCCTATAAAGTTTTCTCACAATCAATTTGCTCTTCTTTCAAATGCTAAATTGTAAAGGTGTTTTATAAACCCTTTATGAATTCTCATGGTCAACTTGTTCAAAAGAGCGTATCAACAAACAGTATCCCACAGTGCATATACCCACTAGGACATGTGCGAAAACACAGTGGGGTCAATGAGTATAAACTTCACATGCAAAAACCATCTCTTCTCACCCCACTCCCCAAACCTCACAGCGCTCAACTGAGATACTCAAGGAGGCTACCAGGGGCCAGATATACAGGGATTATAAAAAGGTGTTCTAATTACCATGTTAACATGCGTAACTTCCCTCAATTTTTAAGGTCTTAGGAAAACAGAAAATATACAAGCAAATTGAAAGCCAATGATTGAGATTTGAGTTCAACACCCTCATTAACCAACAGTAAATTAAAGCCCACAGAAATGATGTTACATGAGAAAGCAGAACCTATGGAGGGCCCTGAGTGAGGTCAGCCCAGGCTAACGGTCTTCCCACTACTGCTCCTGTCTCTTGTTTCTGCTGAAACCAAGGAGAAGCCAGAGAAAGCAGCACTGAAATCAGGATGAGAACTCCTTCCATCGCATGAAAATGATCTCTCAAGGCTGACCCATTGATGAGTACTCCATGCAACAAGTCCTCCATTTCATTTCAATAAGTAAGTTTTTTCCCTGTATTTCAGTTGCTATAAAATTTAGTTTCTATTCCCAAATGAAAATGCTGGTGAAGCCCTGGCCAGGTGGTTCAGTTGGTTACAACATGTTCCCATATACCAAAAGGTTGAGGTTCAAATTCCCAGGCAGGGCACATACCTAGGTTGTGGGTTTGATTGACAGTTGGGTTGCATATGGGAGGCAACCAATTGATGTTTCTTTCTTTTCCTCCCTCCCTCCCTCCCTCCCTCCCTTCATTCTCTCTCTCTCTCTCTCTCTCTCTCTCTCTCTCTCTCTCTCTCTCTCTCTCTCTCTCAGCAATAAGCATATCCTCAGGTGAGGATTTTTTAAAAAAAGGACCCAGTAAAGACAAAAAGAATAACTGTATGAGATGGGAGTGGAGGGTAGTAGTAATATGGGTCTTGTTCTAGAGACACCACCCGAAAATACCAGTTGAAATTTCACTATAGAAAAAGAATGAAACTGTTTGCAGTCCAGGAAATGAAACTTTGTCCTGGATCAGGTAGATACCCTGTAAAGGTATCATCAGATAGATCACTTTTAAAATGGATAAAATAGCAACGTTGATGACAGAAAACAAAAATGTTAAAAAAACAGAAGCCATGGATCTTCTTGTTCACTGACGAATTGGAGTGATGCTGTTAAGGCATGTAGCTTCCTTTAACAACTTCCTACTAGGATATGCCAGATACTGTGCTAAATGTTTTAATGGATCCCACCTAAAGGTTCCTACCATCCAGTGAGGAAGGTATTGAACAATTTTACATGTAAATAAACACATTTAAAGTTTACATAACTTGCCAAGTTAACAGAGCTGTTTCCATCTGAGGACCATGGCAAATAAGTTTAGAATCATTAAGTAAAACAAATAGGATGGCTGTAAAGATGTGCTTCCTCCTTTCATTACTAAAAATGATGAATGAGTGTAAATCACCAGATAGTTAAAGGATTATGAAAAAATATCTAGGAATTAAAATGATTTCTAAAAATCACCAGGAGTTTAAAAGGTTTTGAAAGTGTAAGTAGGGCCGAAACCGGTTTAGCTCAGTAGATAGAGCGTCGGCCTGCGGACCGAAAGGTCCCAGGTTCGATTCCGGTCAAGGGCATGTTCCGTGGTTGCGGGCACATCCCCAGTAGGAGATGTGCAGGAGGCAGCTGATCGATGTTTCTCTCTCATCGATGTTTCTAACTCTCTATCTCTCTCCCTTTCTCTCTGTAAAAAATCAATAAAAAAAAAAAAAAGAAAGAAAGAAAGTGTAAGTAGGATGTTACTAAACCTGAAGGACTCAAAATCGGAGGTGTGGTACTGGGAGGAGGGGAAGTCAACACTGGAAAAGAAAATAATTTTGACTGGATTAACCGCTTAGGAATTAAAGTCTTTTCATTCTAAACTTATTCAGATGAAAATACCCATGATTTAATTTTCTTAAAGATGGCTGCTATCCAGTACACATAAAGTCAAAGAAGAAAAATTTATAACCTGTGTGATATACATAATGTGCCAACCCTATGAAAATACACAAGTAACAAAAGTAGAATTCTTTGTGACTTCTACATGTGTCATATTAAGACATAAAACTAAAAGTGCTTCACTTCAATTACCCTGTCATTTATATTTCAAAGATATCAAATCTAAACAACAACAAAAAGGTAGAAGACACTCTGTACCTTTAACACAGCGAGGAATCTCGGGTACCCAGGCATTATTAGCCTCACAGACAATTTTGCGGCTGCCTTCAAGGGAATAACCCTGGTTGCATTCAAACTCAACTCCTGCTTTGTAGTAATATTTTTTCCCAAATCCTGACACAATAGTTCCATTAGGGAGTGATGGATATGGACATTTGACCACTGAAAAGTGAAGAAATTTCAGAATTAATGAAAAGCTATTTTAGCCTAGGAGAGAAAACCGAGTGCAAGGTCGTCATTTCCACTGTGAACAGAGAGGCCAGGAATGGAAGGCAGGATGTTCATCTCCTTTTAAAAACTTTATTCGTGCATTTTAATTCCAGGTAAATAGATTTGGCGCAATCCAACCATCTTTTCCCACCTAGAAGAGATGTCATTAGGTGTATTGGCTTTCCTACATTTCGCCCCATTAATGACAAGTTTTGAGAAAGGTGTGCCTCCCAGGGACAATTTCCTAGTAAGTTCAAACACAGCCTTTGGGTGCTCTTTGGCCCTAGGGCTCTGTTACAATTTCACGCTGACACTGAGTCCAGTGCCCTGCTCTGTACAAAGGCTCCTAGGAGAGGCTCTTGTGATGAGAAAAAGCTTCCGCTCAAATGTGAAAGCTGGAAAGCAGCTGGCTCTGCAGAGATGCAGAGAGAAGGTTCTCAGGGACTGACAACATACAAGAACTGAGATGTTCAAGACACAGAAAGGCCAAGGAGTCAGGGCAGTGTTTCCATACATTTGGATTCCAACCCAGAAACCAAAAACGACATTTTCCTTTGTAAACCAGTATGTAATCCTACAGGCCTGACATAAAGTTAAAAGTTAATACTTAGACTCTGGTATTTCCCATTGTACTCTACGTCTCAAGAACAAAAACCCTGGTCCTGACCTTCTAGATTGATTTCAGGATCCAGTAATGGGTTTGGCAGAATTTGGAAAAAAAAATAAAACACTGACTGGCAGTAAGTACAGAGAGCATCTTATGAGAATAAACTGGAAGCGTGCTCTTCCTCTTTGCATGTCGACCTGAATGTCCATCAGGTATCTTTTCCCCTCAGCCAAGAGAACGTCCTTTAGCAATTCTTGTAGTGCAGGTGGGGTGGTGACAATTCTCTTAGCTTTAGTTTATCTTAAAAAGTTTTTATTTCACCTTCAGTTTTAAAAGATTTCTCCTTAAAAGATGAAGGGATTAAGAAGTTACAAAATAGTCACGGGGATGTAAAGTACAGCATAGGGAATATAGCCAGTAATCCTATCCTATATAATAAAAGTGTAATAAGCTAAGTGTCCGACCCATAGGTCCATCATTCTGTCTACCGCTCGACCAGTCGCTAAGACGTGCACTGACCACCAGGGGGCAGACGCTCACACCTGTAGGTTAGTAATATTTTCCCTTGGCAGAGATTTCTAGGTGTCCTGTTTTATTTTTCTGTCAGCAGTTTAGTAGATGTTATTGTCTTCTAGTTACAAGTTTCTTAAGAGAAGTCAGCTGTCATTCTTACTGAGAGGGGTGGGGCGAATGTAATATGTTGGTGTTGCTTTCCCCTTCTCACTGGCTGCTTTTTGTTTGTTTTCAGAAGTTTTACCATGATTGGTTACTTCAGCGGGGGGTTCTTGGTAAAATTTCTAAATTTATTTATCCTGCTAGGGTCACTGAATTTCCTGGACTTGTGGGGTGGTTGTTATGGATCAAATGTGGATAATTATTCAAATAATCATCTATACTGTTGTTTCTCCTCTCTTTCTGAACTCCAATGACATGCATACTTGACTCCTTGCTATTCTCCATGCACATCTGACTGCTAGTTGTTCCCCAGGTTATAAGTCTTTCTAGAGATAATAAAAAATAATTCTTTCAAATCATCTGGTTGGTTTCTATTGTTCTCACTTCAAGTTCATTGATCTATTCCTTGTTGTGCTGAACTGATATTAATCACAGAAATGGTTTCTGTAAGTCAGAATTACTGGATATAACCTACATATGTTAAAATGCATCCTTATAAGTGCATAGCTGAATGAGGTTTGATCAACACAAATACTAACCATGTAATTATCACCACAGTAAAGACACAGAAAGGTTCCATTACCTCCAACATTTCCTCATGCCACTTTGTAATCAACTCTCCCTGTCCCCATCCCTCAACCACCTTCCACCAGCTAACCATTGATCTGTTTTCTATCCCTATGCTTCTTTTCCAGAATGTCATAATGGGATCACAGCCTCTGAGTACAGCTTATTTCACCTAGCATAATGCATTTGAGATTCACCTCTGTACTTGTAAGATTAGATGCGCAATCCTTTATATTACGGAGCATTATTACATTATATGGATGCACCATGGTTGTTTGGCCATTCACCAACTGAGAAAGATGGGCTGTTTCTAATGTGAGACGATTATGAGGCTGCTATAAATATTCGCATAATAGGGCTCTACGTGAACATTTACTTGGATTAATTTACTTGGATTGCTGAGTTGTACAGTGAATGCATCTTTAACTTTATAACAAATCATCAAATGCTTTCTTAAATACACACACCACTTTGCATTCTTAACTTTCAATGTATGAGAGATCTAATTACTCCATATCTTTGTAATGGTATGGTTTTTTCCCTTTTAGTTTTACCATTCTAATAGGTGTTTAGTTGTATATCATTGTGCTTTTAAATTACATTTCTGTGACTAATGCCATTGAGTAACTTTTCATGTACTTTTTTGCCACCCATACATCTTCTTTGGTGGAAAAGGTCTATTCAAACATTTTGCCCATTTTTAAAAAATTGGATGTTTTCTTACTTGTTTTCAGAGATCTATATATATGTGCTTTGCAAATATCTTCTTCAAGTCTATCGCTCATATTTATATTCGAACTAGAGGCGTGGTGCACAACATTAGAGCACTTGTGCGGGGGGTCCCTAGTCTAGCCTGTGCCCTCGAGTCCAGGACACCTCGGGGGATGTCCTACTGCTGGCTTAGGAGAATCGGGCCTAAACCTGCAATCAGACACACTCCAAGGGGTCCTAGCGCTGCTGCAGAGGCAAGAGAAGCTCTGGCCACCACCGCTGTGCTCACCAGCTGTGAGCCTGGCTTCTGGCTGAGTAGTGCTCCCGCTGCGCATTGAGCGTCTGCCCCCTGTTGGTCAGTGCGCATCATAGCAACCAGTCGTTCCGCTGTTTGGTCGATTTGCATATTAGTCTTTTGTTATATAGGACTAGAGGCCCGGTGCACAAAAATTTGTGCACTGGGGTGGGTCCCTCAGCCCAGCCCCTCGGGGGCCTATTCCCCTGGCTGCTGGCACCAGTTTTCCAATGGTGCCCGGAACGCAGGCCTTCGCTCTTCGCCGGGAGAGGCCGTCGTGGCGGGCTTCGCTCTTTGCTCGCTGCTCGGGCCCCAGGGCGGGACCGGCACAGCTGGCTTCGCTCTTCGCTTGCCACACTGGCCTTCGCTTGCTGCTCCTGCCCAGGGCCAGCGGGCTTCGCTCCATTGCTTGGCGCCTACATATGCAAATTAGCCACCATCTCTGTTGGCGGTTAATTTGCATATCACGCTGATTAGCCAATGGAAAGTGTAGCGAAGGTACAGTCAATTAGCATGTTTGTCTATTATTAGATTAGACTAGAGGCCCGGTGCACAAAAATTTGTGCACTCGCGGGGGATGGGGGGTCCCTCGGCCCAGCCTGTGCCCTCTCGCAGTCTGGGACCCCTCGGAGGATGTCCACCTTCTGGCTTAGGCCCGCTCCCTGGGGGATTGGGCCTAAGCTGGCAGTCAGACATCCCTCTGGCAGCCCGGGAGCCCTCAGGGGATATCCACTTGCCAGTGGGGAGCAGGTCTAAGCTGCAGTCGGACATCCTTAGCGCTGCTGAGGAGGCAGGAGAGGCTCCCACCACCACCGCTGTACTGACAGCCATCAGCCTGGCTTGTGGCTGAGCAGAGTTCCCCCTGTGGGAGCGCATTGACCACTAGGGGGCAGCTCCTGCGTTGAGTGTCTGCCCCCTGGTGGTCAGTGTGTGTCATAGTGACCAGTCATTCCCAGTCCTTCTGCTGTTAGGGTCAATTTGCATATTACCCTTTTATTATATAGGATAGAGGCCTGGTGCACGGATGGGGGCCAGCTAGTTTGCCCTGGAGGGTGTCTTGGATCAGGTTGGGGGTCCTTCTGGGGTGCCTGGCCAGTGTGGGTGAGGGGCTGATGACTGTTTGCAGGCTGGCCAAGTCCCCAGCGGGGACCCTCACCCCATGGGGGTGTGGCCAGCCTGGGTGAGGGGCTGAGGGCTTTTTTCAGGCTGGCCACATCCCCTTCAGGGTGGAGGTCCCTGATGGGGTGCCTGGTCAGCCTGGGTGAAGGGCAGAGGGCCGTTTTCAGGCTGGCCACACCCCCTTCAGGGTGGGGGTCCCTTCTGGGGTGCCTGGCCAGCCTGGGTGAGGGGCTGATGGCCGTTTTCAGGCTGGCCACACCCCCCAGCAACCCAAGCTCCCAGTCTCTCCTTATTTTCTTTTCTTTTTTTTTCAGTGCCTCCTTGAGCGGAGGCCAGGGTGGGCTGGAAGCAGATATCTGGGATTTATTTATCTTCTATAATTGAAACTTTGTAGCCTTGAGCGAAGCCCAGGGCTGGCCAGGGCAGGTGGGAAGCTTGGCTTCCTCCATCGCCGGGGGCAACCCAAGCCTCCTGCTTGCTCCAGTTCCAGAATAGCATATATAACTATTCTGTTTACTTGTTAGTCGAGTATTTACAAAGTATTTCCATACTATTTACAAATGAAAAAATAAATAAAAAATGTTATTACCTTTACACTCAGGAGGGTCACTACTCCATTTGTTTGGCCCAGAACAAATCAGTCTGCTCTCTCCAACAAGTGAATATTCATCTGGCCCAGTCGAAGGATTACAACGGTAAGTTACCATTTCATTATATTCAAATGTATCCTTGTGGCTATTGCTGAATATTCCATTTTCTATTTGTTTAGGTGGTTGACACAAAATCTCTTAAAAAGAGAAAAAAAGAGGACAGGAAAGGCAAAAGAAAAGATAAAAGATTAAGACAGCATTAGTAATGCCTTATGAACTGCTTCAATAAATTCATTAACATATGATTTCTATAATCTAGTTGAATATCCAATATCTATATGAAACAAAGTTTCTATGTAAAAAAAGTATGATCTTTTTCATCCATACAGTATGTAGTGCAGTTTGCCAAATGTGCAAATGGTGTGTTAATGCAACAGCCTAAATCGAGGTCTATACTGAAGCCACATATTGATGAGTTTGCAAACATGTAAAACAATGCCAATATTCTCACTTTTTTGAAAATTTTGGTTTCCCTTTAAAAATATGTTGTATATATTAATATGTATTATGCTTACTGTTCTTAATAATTATTTTTAAAACTTTTCAAGGTTAATTCCAATATAATGGAATAGCAATAGCCATATCCCACCTGAAGAAAAGCTATGTGGGGGTCTTTTTAAATTTAAAAGCATAAAGTCAAATCAAGATCAAAAGTTTGAGAACTGCTCTAAATTCTAAAGACAGAATATACTTACTTTCACACTGTGGGGGGTCAGCACTCCAATCCACATTTTTCCCATCTCCAGCAAGTTCACAACGTAGAACTGGTGTTCCAACTAAGTAATATCTAAATAAGAAGAAAAAAAGATTACTGTTGTGCTGTTTTTTTAACCAGTTAACACGATGCATACAATAATGAAGAAAAATTTTATATGGTTGTTTTTCTGCACTATAGTAGTTTGAGGGAAAGTTTCTTAAATAGCCTATCATGAAAGTACTAACTAAATCTATAATTTAATGGAAGAGAGAGTTGCTGCATTTGAGCACACACTTACCTAGAGCAAACTATCTACACATGTGCTTGTCGGTCTGGCCTCTCTGCTATCTGCAGCAGGCACATCAACATTCCCTTGTGCCCGAGTTCATGCCATTCTGCCCAGGCAGGACAATGACTGCGTAGAGAGGTCAGGCCCGAGAGCTTCCTTGCCTGCATTGGAGTCCCAGCCCCACAACTGACTTGCTCTTTGAGCTGGGCAAGTCCCTTTCTCTTTCTCAGGTTCCTCATCTATGAAAAGAGGATAATAGTATATACTGAAAGGGTGAGGGCTATGCCCTCCATCTTGCCCCGTATCCTCCATGTTGGGGTAGGAGCCATGTGCTCAGACCCCCTTCTTCCCGAAAGCCCAGGCCTCTGCTGGCCACGCCTGGGATTTCTTTAAACTAACCAATGACAGTTGAGGGATGTGCGCGCCATAAGAATTACCGCATCCTATGTAACAAGACCCAGCTTGCGCCTGGCCAATCGGCAGGGCCCACAGTCCCCTCACTCCACCCCCTATTAAAACCCTGGTTTTTCTCACGGCGGTCTCTCTCGGCCACTTGGCTTGCCGTTGTGTCGGTGAGTGTGGTGGACGGGGAGCTCAAGCTAGCTTGAAATACAGACTCTTATGCTTTTGCATCGGACTGGCTGGCTCCTGGTGTGGTCTTTTGGGGATCTTGAAATCTGGGCATAACATATACCTCGTGGGATTGCTGTGAGTAGTAGATGAATTAGCATGTGGAACGTGCTGCCTAAGTTTCAAGTCTTATGAATACTCCTCAGGCCCTGGCTAGAGTGGCTCCGTTTGTTGGAGTGACCTCCTGTACACCAAAAGGTAGTGGTTTGATTCCTGTTCAAGGCACACACCCAGGTTTTGGGCCCAATCCAGTCTGGACGTGTAGAGGAGGCAACGAATTAAGGCTTCCCTCACAATTGATCTCTCTTTCTCTCTGGCACCCGGGACCTGGGCTTCTCTAGCATCTCTGGCTTCATCCAGAAGGTCATCAGGAAGAACATCTGGTCTAATTAGCATATTACCCTTTTATTATTACAGATTAGGAGAGGAGTCGGGGATGATGGTAAGGTAGGAAGCACCAAGAATCTCTCTTCCCACCTAAACAACAATTACAATGCTAGAATGTGCATGATGTAACTATTTTGCAACTCTGGTGTCCCTGAAAGGTTTGTAGTTACTTAGGCAGGACTTGGACATGGAAATTGATTGAATATCAGTCACTTTCAGCTCTGAGCACAATGGCAGCTACCCATCCCACTCCCACAGCAGGCAGCTATGCACGTGCTCCTGGGGCAGCTTATAAACAGCCTGTAGGAACCAGGGAGTGAAAAAAGAACCCTGTCCTCACAGATACCAGGGATTTATGCACTTATTACTGACTGCTACTACTGATCACAAAAAAACACTAACTCAAAGACACCAAGTGGGGAGTCATTATTGTCACATGTCCCCCACTCTTGCAAGCCCATTTATTGCCTACTGACATGACTTCCAGATATTTAAGGATCCAGTGTCCTTTGCTCCCCTTTCAATTTTTGCTTTTTCCCCTTTCAGGAGACAGACATCAAATCTAGGACATGCACAGGTGGGGGAAATTAGGTGACTGTGCCTGCCCAGGGAAAGGCTCGGAAAGACCTGAGAAGGCCTTCAGTTTACATATCTGGCTGATCCTCAGACCCTACAACAATCAAAACACTAAAATGAGCTAAGAAAATAACAAGCCCTGGGAAGGAGAATTTGACTTCCAGAGTTACCTCATTATTAGAATTCAAGTGTCCCATTCAAGAAAAGAATCACAAGGCATACATAGAAATAGGAAAGTATGGTGCCTTCAAAGAAAAAAAAAAGATTAATAGAAATTATCACTAAAAGTAAGACCTCATTCCAGATCAAATACACAAAGACTTTAAAATAACTGTTAACCTGGATGCTCAAAGAACTAATGGAAGAAATGTTGAAAATCAAGAAAAAAAATGAATGTATTAGGACAGGAAAAGGCCTCTTTTCCCTCACGGTAACCTTGCATAAGCCATGAGAAGCATGTGGAGATTGCAGACTTCCCTATTCAAAGTTCCCCTCTATTCAAGCAGGCTTGAAAAGTAGGCTGCACCTCCCCCATTACCCCCTTTCCTGCCTTTTTAATGATTCTAGGGAAATTACACCAGAAAGTTTCTAGTTAGTAGAAGAGCTCTACTCCCTCCCTTTCAAACCCAAGCCGCCCAAGCCTTGAACCCTTTGTAACTTTCCCTGTAAGGTTTTACAAGCTTGTGAAGATGCTAATAGACACCTCTGCAGGACATCTGTGGCTAAAGGACAAACAAGCCATAGCTCCTCAGGACAGCCTCCAGGATCTGGAAAACGTCAAGGTGAAGTCCCCGATCCCCCTCCCTTCTTTATCCATTTGCCACTGCTGCCATTTACTCCCTATTAAGCTTATAGAAGAACAACCCCACACACCTTGGGCCCCTTGTGCTGCCAAAAGGCACCTGGCCCTTTCCTCCCTTGGAAAATAAAATAGATTGCCCTAACCGGTTTGGCTCAGTGGATAGAGCGTCGGCCTGCGGACTCAAGGGTCCCAGGTTCGATTCTGGTCAAGGGCATGTACCTTGGCTGCAGGCACATCCCCAGTAGGGGGCGTGCAGGAGGCAGCTGACTGATGTTTCTCGCTCATCGATGTTTCTAACTCTCTATCCCTCTCCCTTCCTCTCTGTAAGAAATCAATAAAATATTTAAAAAAAAAAAAAAAGAAAAGAAACTCCCTCTCTTCATCTATTCCTTTCTCAGTTGTGAATTCTTTCGCAGCCCATATCCCTGGCCAAACCCTAACAGAATGAATACAATGTGAATATCAATTCAGAGATGGAAAACCTAAAAAGAAACCAAAAGGCAATTTTGGAATTGAAAAGTACACTAACTTAAATGAAAAAGGCGAAGAGATCAACCAAAGGTTATCTGTTCATGCATATAAGCCTAACTAATGGACACAGGCACCAGGGGGGTGAGGGCATGAGTAGGGGGTCGGGGGGCAATGGGGGAATAAGGACACATATGTAATACCTTAATCAATAAAGAAAAAAAAATGAAAAATTCACTACAGGAATTAAAGGTAGTTTTTAGCAGACAGAAATTGATTCAGTGAACCTGAAGAAAGGCCAATGGAAAGTATTGAGTCTGAAGAACAGAAAGAAAAAAGAATGAAGACAAGTGAAGAGAGCCTATGGGACCTGTGGGAAATCGATAAGCAGATCACATATGCATTGTGGGACTCTCAGAAAGAGAAGACAGAGAGGAGGGGGCAAAGAAAATATTTGAAGAAACAATGGCTGAAAGTTTCCCAAATTTGATGGAAGACAGATAAAAACATTCAAAAATCTCAACATTCTCTAAGTAAAATGAACTCAAGAGATCCGCACTAAGAAACATAACGACTGACCTTTCAAAAGCCAGTGACAGAATTTGAAAAGCTGTGAGAAGTGAATCATCAGGTACAAGGGATTCTAAATAAGAATATCAGCAGATTTCTCATCAGAGTCTTGGAGGCCAGAGGACAGTGAACTGATAGACTCAAAGTGATTTAAAAAACAGAAAAAAGCCAACCCAAAATCCTCAATCCAGCAAAACTGTGCTGAAACATGAGGGAGATATTAAGGTTTATTCACAAATAAAAGCTGAGGGAGTTGTTACCACTAGACCTTGCCTTCAAAAAATACTAAAGGGAGTCCGGAACGGTGAAATTAAAAAAAGTAACCCAAAGGCATATGAATAAATAAGCATTTCACTGCAGGCACATACACAGGCAATTATTAAAGCCAGCATTATTGTAACAATGGTTTGTACCTATAATTTTTGTTTTCTGTGTGGTCTAAGAGAATAATCCTTCAAAGGAAGATAAATACATTACTGTGGAGGCTAGTATTACAATTATTAGTGTAGAGATTAGTATCACATTAACAACCAAAGGTGGTGGGGATAGATTTGTAAAGGTGCAGTTTTTATAATTTATTGAAATAAAGTTGGTATAAATTCAAATAGGAATACTCTAACTGTAGGATTTTAAATATAAAATCTGCATCAAATCCACAAACAAAAACCCTATAAAATTGACAATATGTAATAATAAAGAAATGTTGGCATTTCACTATAAAAATCAACTAAACAGGAAAGGGGGGTCAAAAAAGCTCTGAGGCATGTAGAAAACCAGTAGCATAATCATAGAAAACCATCCTTCTTGTCAATAATCCTTTTATATTTAAAACTAGAGGCCCGGTGAACAAAAATTTGTGCACTGGGGGGGGGGGGGGTCCCCCAGCCCAGCCTGTGCCCTCTCTCAGTCTGGGACCCCTCGGGAGATAACGACCTGCTGGCTTAGGCCTGCTCCCCTGCTCCCGGGTGGCAGAGGGCATGCCCAATCCCTAGGTGCAGCCCCTGGTCAGGCTCAGAGCAGGGCCGATTGGGGAGTTGGGGCGCCACCCCCTGTCATGCACAGAGCAGGGCGGATCGGGAGGTTGCGATGCCACCCTCAGTCACGCTCAGGGTAGGGCCAATTGGGGGGTTGGGGCACCGCCCCCTGTCACACTCAAGGCAGGGTCGATGGGGAGGTTGCGGCGCCACCCCCTGTCACACACAGAGCAGGGCCGGTCAGGGGGGTTTGGGCGCTGCCCCCTGTCACTCACAGAGCAGGGCCAATCAGGGGGTTTGGGGCGCTGCCCCCGTCACTCACAGAGCAGGGCCAATCAGGGGGTTGGGGCACTGCCCCCTGTCACTCACAGAACAGGGCCCATCAGGGGGGTTGGGGCTCCGTACCCTGTCACACACAGAGCAGGGTCGATCAGGGGGTTGGGGAGCTCCCCCCTGTCACGCACAGAGCAGGGCCCATCAGGGGGTTGAGGAGCTCCCCCCTGTCATGCACAGAGCAGGGCCCATCAGGGGGTTGAGGAGCTCCC